TCTCCGAGGTCCCTTCGAACCCAAGCCATTCTGTGATTCTATGATTATTATGTTGAGGCAACAAGTTACTGTGTCAGTTGCTGTGCCAAAGATATGTGTACATACAAGTACTTCTCACAGAAAGGAAAACAAATTCCTTCCTGTACTTTTTCTTCCAAATTCTCTTCCCATCCCATTTCTTTACTTTTCTAGTCAATCTGCCCATTTTTGAGTTCATAAGAGCTATCAACAGACAGACACCTTCCCTTTTCCACATTGCATTCCCTTACATTTCTCTGTTTCCTTACTTACACTTCCTCCTTCTTGTCTTCAAGTTATGGACTATATGGTATGCTTTGCTCTCTACTGTCCTAAAGTTCCTTTGACTCTTTGTCAACTGTTTTCTACCCACCCTGGCCTAGCGGACATGCTAGGCTACTGCCTCTTCCCTGCAATCTTCCTGCATTACCAACTCCATTGAAGTGTGCCATATATAGTCCTCATCTACACCTGATCTAGTAAAAAAAAATGTATTGGTTTCTCACTGTCATGCAAACACTAAAATCAGAATTACAGGAAATTATATTGGTGGGACCTCTGGATACCCTCCAATCCCACCTTCTGCTAGAAGCTGTATTACAGCCAACACTGAATGAAATCAGCTGGGGCTATTCAGACAAGTCTTGAAATCCCCTAAAGGCAGAGGTTTTGGAGCTTCCTTGGGAATCCTACCAAAATTGTGTACTACCTTACCTGACATAGTTCTTGCTGATGCTCACTCCAAACCATCCAGCCACAATTCATGCATGCACTCTGTCATACCATCTAATACTGAAGTCTGGTCCTGTAGCCTATGTAACTCCTGGTTTAGTAGCTATAGATTAGCAGTAGCCTCTTCTTGTCCAGACAAAAGCACAGCTCCCTCATACGTTCCTCACTGATCACAAATCCTAGCCATCCTCCTAGTCTCACTCTTTTTTAGTTTCTCAGTGTCCTTGAACTTGAGGGAGGCGTTGTCTGAAAACTTGTTCCAGGTGCAGCACCAAGGACAAGAAAGTGAATTCACTCTCTGACTTTTGAAGAAAGTAAAAATATTCTCTCCAAAGATGAATACTTGTCTTACTACCACATTTATCTTCCTTGATGGCTCTGCCAACATTAATTAAGCTGATTAGCTTAATCTTGAAATTATTATCACTTTTACCTTTTCTTTTGATATTTTCACTGTCTCTACTAACTTCTTGATAATTTTTGTAGTTTCTTTTCTTTATTACATGATACATGATGATAAGTACATGATTACTTTCTTCTACAAACCTCTACACAATAGTTATGCATTTTCTTCAGCCTTTCTTCCTCCAGCGTGTTTGAAATAACCAGTTTTGAAAATTAACTTCCCTTTACACAGCAGTGTTTTGACTGCGTACCATTTTATAATAATAATAATCTCTTTTCATGAACATAGACCCTTTACATTAATAACCGTTTAGCTTATAATAAATTCATGAAAAGAACATTTAAAAAAGGTTTTTCTGTCAATGGCTGTCTTGAATTTGGGTACCAAATGCTGATTATTGGTAGTAGCTGCATAAATCATCCCTCTTTATTGTTATATTTTTATGCCCTTCAGTTACATTTGCACTGCCTGAGTTTTGGAAGTAAATATCCAAAATATTAGCTGAAAGCTTCCTCAGAAAGCAAATCTTTCCCACATCCTTCCCTGCAGTTCCTCTTTAAGAGGTGTCAGCATGGCTGAGAGAATGAAGTGGCTCCACATTGTTTGCCTGAACTATTATGTGTTTAACATTTCCATAACAAAAGTGCCACTCGACTTCTCCGCGATTAATGCAGCTCGAGGGCTCTTGTCCTCCTTTAATAAAACATTGTTGAAATCATTTATTTAGAGCCCCTGGTTACTAGTGGGAGAATGACCATCTTTGTGCCAAAATATAGTGTATACAGTCCACTATTTTGTAGTAGATCATTCTGTTATTTAAGAAATTGATTAAATGGATGTCTTAGAAAGTATTTATGCTAATAGCGCATTACTTATGTCATTCAGACAGTCAGTGTGAGCCTTTTCAACTGTCTACCACAGCCAATGCCTCGAGTAAAATACAGTAACTTTCGACTTTACTGGTTACCAATCCGTATCGCAAACTCTAAATCTCACACAGAAACACTGCTCTTCCCAGTTGAAAATGTTTTGTTCTGCAAGACTGCCTAGTTCTCCTGATGACTCGCAGTGACTTATCACAGGCAGTGTGGCAGTGTGTTGCGTTATTACTGAGGACAGGAACAAAATCAATTGAAAGTCTGAATTTGTTTTAGTGACACTGAAAATACAATGCAACTCAGCCCCTCAAGCTGTGTTTTCCATGACTCAGCTGGTGACAATTTTGTGTCCCACTACTGTCTCTGCTTGCACCATGTCTATTCTGGCGTTGCTCTCATCCCCTTCCAGTGAACTTAAAACAACGATTAAAAAAAAGCAACAAAAACAAACTAAAAAGCAAGTATTCATTCAATTCTGAATGGTTTTCTAACTCACCGAAATGGAACTGTAAAGTTGTCTGCAGTCACCCTTGCATCCTTGCCATGGATATACATTATACACGCATGCTGGCAGTGAGAGATCTGGTACATTGACAGATCTTACAAGGAATGGAGGAGGCACTGCAGCTAAAATCCATCAGACTTTTCAATTAGACAGTAAAAGAATGGCCAAATCAGGTCTTTTCCTCATTGTAAGGATTTGTTTCATAAGAATTTTGAAAGTTACTTATGTCTGTCTGTACATACATCACTGTATATCATTAAAAATAAACAGAGACCTTATGTTATGTCCATTGTGATTGCATACAAAAGCTTTGCTGTGTGCTTGGGTGATCAGTGAAGCTTGAATCTCCCTCTATTTACTGTATGGTCACTGTCAGTTCAATGAACTGCCTCCTTGTTCTCCACCATTGTCCCACACTCCCTTAAACATTTGTCACTGAAGTGCCTCCAAAGACAAATAAACTGTCACCAAGAATTCAAATCTGGTAAGTGGGAATGAAAAGGGAGCAGAACCTACTGGATTATTTTACATGGAATGGTAGAGTTTCTTCCCCCTCAGAAGAGACTGGCTAGACAGGACCTTGGCAAAGAGCACTTTCAAACATCTATACAAACCAGAACTTCTTTTCCTGTGGAAAATCTTCCTCTGTCAGGGAATGTGAGATTTTTTTTTTTCTTCATTTAAAACTGTCCTTACTACATCCCTTGACATTTCAAGAATTTCCATTTGTCTCAAAATCAAGCAGAAGAAATACGAATTTGATAGACATCAACATCTGCACTGGCTTTGTAGGCTGGGACACATACCAACACACTGAGCCATTCTTCCTGGAAATGTGCTTACTCTGACAACATGACAAACATGACACAGTTATCTCCATAAGAGAAGGCATTTGTGGGACAAAATTAGTTCAGCTGTATTTATTGTGCAATTATTTAAATTAAAGCAATCCTCTTTCCATGGGGAAGGAAGCATACAGATGAGTCTTCTCCCCCTAGAATTGCTCAGTGTTGATTTATTCCAGGCAGATGATTTTGACAGGAGCCTGTAAAATCAGGTCTTGAATTTATTGTAGATGTTAATTATTGGTTCTTTTCTAGTGCAACTGTCTTTACTCCTTGCTGAAGAAAAATAGAGGCTTTTTAAGTGGGAATTAATTTTTCATCAACAGTGAGTTAGTCCTTGTTGGCACAAGTGTTGGTAAAGTGAAAATGTCTTCCTGAGCATCTCCTGAAGAACCAGAGACTACTTAGGATCATCTCTGCAGAACAGCAGACCCAGTGTTTTGCAAAGAAAGCTGATGCTATTCACAAGTCTCACCCAGATGCTCCGTTCTCTTCTTGAGGAAACAACATTTCCAGCTTTGTTTTAACAAAAAGTTTACTCAACCACTCAGACGACTTTAAAAAAACAAACTTCAGATCACAGCCACACAGCATACTCATATACTTGTTTGAAATCATAGCTATTTGGGGGTCGGTATGCGCGTGCACGCGTGCCTCCGTGTGTGTTACTGGACAATCTTAATCAAGTTCACACCCCCAAAGAAATAATAATCTGTCACTGAAATAACTAATCCAGAAGCGAGGATTTCTAATTTCATTGATTTACACAACAGGCAGATGTGGACTTGCCCTCTGTCAAGATCTGGTAAGATGAAAAAGACACTATCTTGCTAATCTGTTGCCCCCTCAGTCAAAGTTTATTTGTGGTAGCTTTTAAACTTCTGACTTGCCCTCCAATCACTGCATTTAAAATGAAAAGCTTTAAATAAACACCATGAATAAAAGATAAATAAACTTTTTTTTTTTTTTTTTTTTTTTTAACTTGTGTGTGTATGTGTGTGTGTGTGCGCCTGGCTTGACGCAGTCCAAACTCAAATCCCTAGAGGACTGAGCTTTGTCTTTTGTGTTAATGTTTAAAAGATTTTCCAATGCTGGAGTTTATTCCTACTGCAAACATTTCTATTTACAAGGTCAAGTGTATCAGCACTCAACACAGCTTAAGAGTGTAATTATTTATCTAAGGGCGTTTGAGTGTAGATCAGTAGCTCTGGCAGCAAACCAGGCTTCAGCACAACGCAAAGCAACTCTTCAGAACGGTATTACAAGATCTGGTAATTGCTGATCCCCTCCGTTTGTTTACTTTTGTGTTATTCAATGTGGGACAAGACAGGATGAATGATAACTCACGCACATTTTGCAGCACCCTCCTAGATGCACACACCACAGCCTGCATGAAGGCTCTGCATTCTGCATTTCTCACCGTTTCCTTGTTCGCGTGGCAGGGAGTATTTCTAAGGGTGTCAGTGGAGCAACATGCCTCCACTTCAAGAAGAAAGCACAGTGCACAAGCAATTCTACACACATACAGGGGCAGTGTCCCTGAATCGCTTCACTATCTTCTGGCACCAGCATGTTGCCATGCCAACGCATTATAAAAATCAACCACTCTTTTAAAGTAGTATTTTCAAAGCTGTATTTACTTGTTGCACGTAATTATTCATTAACGTAAGAATACCAGTAATTTACATCTATGTAAAGTATTACAGGCAGGCATAGATTTTTGCTTGTTGGTTGTTTTTGGTTTGTTGTTCTGCGGTTGGCTCCCGTCCTCCCCTCCCCTGCTCTCCCCCTCCTTCCAATCTCAGGAGCTGAGAGTTCAAGTGTCCCTGGAAAACAATTTCACCACATCCATTATTTAAAGCTCTTTCTTTACTAATTTAAACATTTATAAAGTACAAAAAGCCATACATATTTGAAACACAGGCCTTTGTTATGCCTTCTATAAAAAATACTAGGTTTAAGGCAGCTCAGAAATGTGTACATACAATTCTACAGTGTTCATAAAGTCTCTCCAAATAAGAATGTTAACTCCAAATCTATAAAATACACTGTACATTCGGTGTTCTAGAAAATACGTCAGTGAATCGTTGCTGCTGGTATCCCTTTACACTTAAAACAAAACCTGTACCTTTCCAGAAATGACTAGCGCATGTGATTACCTGGCAAATAGGATGTGGATTTAAAACTTTTATTTTTTTTTCTTAAATAAATTATCCCCAAAAGCATACAATTTATAAAATTGTATAAACAAAGAAGAGCGACTGGTAACAAATCCCAGTTTTAAATACATCTCTATATAAAGATTTACCAGAGGTCAGCACCCTGATACAAGAGGCAATATAGCTTCTCAGCATATGTGAACATACATGTTCTGAGTTTAAAAGTGTCTTTCGAAGATGGCAGTGCAGAGCTCTTTTGGAAGACAAGTTGCATTGTTTGCGACAGCCAACAACTCTCTTTGAAAAGAATCATTTTTGTGTGCCCCTAGGTTAGGAGAGGCGGCTGCCGGCCCGCTGCGTTAGGGCAGACTTGTGTGCAAGAGGCAGCGCTGCGAACCACCTCACCTCGCTCAGCCGGTGCTCTCCTAAGCTCAGTAAGCGGCAGATGCAGCGCAGCACCGGGCACAGCGGTACCGAGTGACAGTCAGGTTGCCGGGCAATAGCTTTGGCAGCAATTTGGGCACCTCGCCTCTTTCTAACCTTCATGTCAAATCGCTACAGACACGCGGCCGTGCCCTCTCTTCCTCTCCCTCCCTCCGAGGCGGCGGGGAGCCGATTTAAGGTCCTTCCCCTCACCTCACCGCGGACCGCAGCGCCAGGCGGCCGGGACGCATTGCATAGTGCACACGGGGACAGACACGCAGGGGAGGCGCCCGGATAACGGCGGGACTAACTGTCCGCTCGCCTGGAAGCGGGGAAGCCCTGCCCGGGGCCGGGGCCGTGGCCAGGGCCGGGCGGGAGGCTAGAGCGGCGGTAGAAGCGGCAGCAAGATGGAGGCCAGCAGCGCCCAGGCCGCGCCGGAGTCCCGGCCGGCACCATCCGCCTGCATGGGGAAGCCGGGCTCCGGGCCCGCATTGTCCTCAGCTTCGTCCCTCCCCTTCTGGCTCGGCTCCTCCTCGTAGTCCTCGTCGTAGTATTCCTCCAGGCCGCCGTCCGAACCTCCGCTGCTGCCCGCGCCGTTGCTGCCCACGTCGGCGCCGAAGCAGAGGCGGGCCATGTTCTCCTTGACCGACTCGCAGATTGGCCGCTCCAGCCCGTCGCAGACGCAGTCGTTGAGCAGCACGGCCTTGGGCACGGCCAGCATGTCCTCGATGACGGCGCGGCACTCGGGCGTGCAGCGCAGCCCGTTGAACAGTTTCCCGCAGTAGGCCATATAGCGGTTGAGCGCCTGGCTGCAGCGGCTGTCCCAGTCACAGCGCCGCCGCGCCTCCGTGCAGCCCATCACGCCGGGGCCGCCCCCCGCGCCGCCGCCGGGCCCGCCGCCCCCCGCGCCGCCGGTCGCGGGGCTGCTGGTGCGGGGCAGGCAGGGCTCGATGGCGCGCTTCGTAGCGCGGCAGTTCTCGTCCTGCGCGCAGTCGCAGTCCTCCAGCGCCGGGCCGCGCCGGGTGTGGTTGAGCTGGATGAGGGCCGCGATGCAGTGGCTGGGGCACCGCCGCCGGGAGGCGGCCGAGGCTGCGGCGGCCGCCGGCCCGTCCCCGCCGCCCACCGCCGGCTGCTGCTGCAGGAGCACCGAGGCGCACGCCTCGGCGTACTGGTTGTAAGCGTAGCTGCACTCGGGCTCCCCCTGACACTGCAGCACCGCCTGCCAGCAGATCAGCCGCCGGCCCTGCACCGGAGAGCTCCGGGGCGGCCACACGGCGCCCAGCGCCGCCACCAGCCACAGCCAGGCGGGCGGGCGGGCCGGCATCGCGGGCGGCGGAGGCGGCTGCTGCCGCGGGGTAGCGGGGGAGAGGAGCCGCCGGGCGAGGATAATGAAGAAGAGAAGGAGCTGCCGCCGCTCGGAAAGTTTGCAGAACTCCCGCCGGCCGTGCGCATGAGGTCTCCTCGCATCAATCCATCCGCGCGGGCTGCGGCCCCCTGTCGCTGAAAACGGCGGAGCCGCGGTGCGAAGCGGTCGCCCCGGGCCGCCCCGAGCGCCGCAGGCGCTGCTCCCGGCCCGGCTCGGTCTGGTTCGGCTCGGCGGCTCCGCGGCGGCGTGGAACTCAGCGCAGAGCGGCGCGCGGAGGAGCGCGGCTTCGGAGTGCACTTGGGGACTTGAAGGCGGCGTCGGGAGAACTCATGGTGCTGACCCGATCCTCATGCAATTCCGTGTCTCTTTCGCTTTTCTTTTTTTTTTTTTTTGCACAAAATAAATGCCCGGCTGCTGCCGTTGCCTTCTCGTGAGCTCTTAACTCTCCGCTCGCAGCATCTCTGCACATGCCAGCCGCTCCGATCCCGCAGGCGGTGCCGGCTCTGCTTGCTCCCTTGGGCTCGGGTCGCACTTCGGGCAGCAGAGAAGAGAAATCTCTCCCCGTCAGCGCGAAGGCAGCGCGGGGAAGGCAGGAAGGCCGGCTTCGAGGTCTCTTTCTCTCTGGGCGACTGATGCTGCTGCTGTTGTCAACAAGCCCTGCAAGCTGTTCTGCGGATCCGTCTGCGGATCTTTTTTTCTTTGCAAGGCTTTAAATACAAAAGTGCCTTCCGAGCAGCGGCAACGTGCTCTGATTAGGCCTCATTATGCATGCATGGAAAAGCAAACAAACAAAAAAAATTAGCAACGCTTCTTCTTTTACACATCCCCCAGCCTGTGCTCTCTTGCTCTCTTTCTCCTTTTCTCCACTTTTTTCTCCCTTCGCTCGGCCCCCTTTTCCAGCTCTGCGACTTGCCATTGGCCCAGCCTGTTGTTGAAACTTTTTTTTTTTTTTTTTTTTTTTTTTTCTTCCCCTCCCTCCTCTCTTTACGATCTGCTGGAGTGAGGGAAGCGAAAAGGGGGGCTGGAGGGCAGCTCACATTCAAAGCTTGAAAGGAAAGGCTTAACGAGAATGACAGCCCCCCCGAGGAGCCCCTCCTTCCGTTAAGGCGGCGCGGTCCTGCGCAGCCACGGGGCGAAGGCACATCCCCGAGCGGAGCGGAGGATGCGCTCCGTACGGCTCACGTGGGGGCAAGGCTGGCGCTCCGGGCTCCGGAGGGTGGCTTTGTCCGTTCTCCGTCCCGACGTGCTGGTAGCGGGGTCCTGCAACCATGTAAGTACTGCGGCTTGCTGCGTCCTCAGCAATGCCACTTAATACACCCTACCAATGGTACACACACCAAGCTCAGCTTACTGCCTTTAGTGGTTGTGCGCGGACGTAGGATCCTGACCAGCGGAAGTGCTGCGAGGATCAGTGTAGTTGTGTGGTACTTCGTGCAGGTCTGCCCACCAATAGAAGCTGGTTTGAAACCTGCTAGCTAAGAGGATTTTCACAGAAAGAAAACCGCCCTGCCCACCTGTGGTACTCTCCGTGCTTTTAATTTGCTTTTAAGGAACTAGACACGGCAGTGCTCACATCCAGGTGCAAGGAGAGGAGCAAAACAAAATGAACAGTGCCGCGTTTACCCTCTGCCTTTCAAGTTCGTGCTACCTTAATTCCAGAGCACCATCGCCTCCGACCGCCAGGGGCAGCGGAATCTGCTGCCTGTCAAAACTGGCGCTTTTTTTTTTTTTTTTTTTTTTCATCCTGAGACTATGAACTCCATCTGTCACAAAAATTAGGGCTAAATGTATTTCCCAGAAACTCGGGGATCCGAGCGCTGCGAGATGTCTGAGAGCGCGTGGAAGGGTGGGAGACGGCGTGGTGCGTCCGGGGCCAGTGTGATGGATGTGCTGAGCGGCCAGCACACGCGCTCACTCCATTGTGGTCGCTTTTAACGCTGCTAGTGGTCCTTCCTCAATACGGCTCTGCCCTTTCTGGTGCAAACGATGTATTTGCTCCCAAATCCATGAAAACTGCCTTCAGAGCAGCCATCCAACTAGTTTTTTTTGCCCTTTATTTTAATCCTTGTTTAATTGCGTGATTAATAATGTCAAATGCCATTTAGGCAGAGTGCAGTACATGCATAGTGCCAGCTGCCCGGGTTTGCAAGTTCAGCCTGGTGGCTGGAGAGAGCGACCCGGGCTGTGCCCCATGGAGATGGGGGGACAGGCTTCTTCCACGCGTACGGGGGTGAGACTGGAGGGCAAGATCCTTCGATGAGGAACCAGGGGGCCTTCCGATCTTTCCCAGCGGGGGAGAGTTGGAGCCGCTGTGTCTGTCACAAAGGGGCTGCCCTCTGGACAGCCAGGCGACGTGCTCTGCTTCCACGCAGCTCCTGACTCCATCTGCAAAATCCGTCGTGCAGCGCCTGCTCCTCGCCTCGAAGCACACGGGGCCGTAACTTTGCGAGGAAAGCAGCCGCGGAACTTCAGAGCCCCAGGAGGGGGAGCATAGGAGCCTTCGCTGTAGCGCTGCGTCCCGGTGGGGACGAGACGGCCGCGGAAGGCGCACCCGAGCGCAGGGAATAGACATCTTGCGCACACCGCAGCGGTCGGGAGGGCCGGGTACGGAGCAGAGGTGCGTGCAACTTTGTGATGCCCCTCAGCTAAGGAAGGAGGATTTCCTACATTAATAATGGTATTAATAATGGAAATGCTGATTTGAAGCTTAGAATTTTTATTTCCTTTCAAACAACTGAGCAAGTCTTATGGCAAAATAGCTGGCATTCCACTTGTCGCACCTTTAACCATCTGGAGTATGATCTTGCACATCTAGGTTTATATATCCTTTGAAAAGAAGTTACCATAAAGTGCTTAAAGACATACCAGTCTGGCATTTGGATTCTGTCCCTGTTTGTGCTGTTTGGCACTTGGGGGCTTTGGGGTGCGTGGTGCTTTGTTGGAGGAAGGAAGTCTTGCCTTCTGTGAATCTAAACCAATGGAAAAAATCTCTGACCTCTCTTCTTAGCTGCAGGTTTTCAGGCAGTAGAAGCAGTTTTGCCAAATTCAGCTTTTGGGTTCTCAGAGTAGACTTAAGAGTATGCGGGAAAGCAACTCTTTTTCACAAAGAATCATTTGGAAAATATGTCATGACTGGACAGTAAAATAGGATCTGGTTGTTATTTAAATTCTAAAATAGGCCATCCTTTTCTGTAAAACAGTCAGTGTTGTTCTCTAATAATAATTTTCCAAGCTATTACAGAATAAGTCTTCTACCACTAACAGTCATTATGGCAGATAGAAAAGGAATCTCCTATTGGTTATGGCACTTTTTTTTTTAAGCCTGGTATCTTTTCCTCTGTTTTATCTTAAGCTCTTTCCTGGTGGATCTTCTCATCTCTTAGTTTTTCATTCTTGCAGTGTTAAAAATTATCTGACCTATTTTACACTGGGAGTTGTAGTGAAAATGCTAAGTCGTGGCTTGAAACAGTGATTGAGCATCTGTTGGGAAGGCAGGAAAAACCAAGGGGAGCTCAGGTGCATGCAGTGCACCTGAGTGACCGGAAGGGGTGGGACTAGGCTCCATCCCTTCCCAAATCTCATGTAAGGGTTGGCAGAGGAGGTACTTCTGTGAGAAAGGTACTTCTGTGGAGGTCCCTGCATATCTGAAGCCTTCTGTAGGCAAGCAGTTTCTTTCCCTTATTTCTGTGCCCACTGCTGTTGCATTTGAGCAAATCCTAACATGCTGTAGCCTGGGATCTTGCTGTTCTGTTGTCACTGTTGTGCTTTCCATCATGTTGCAGGAGTATATAGAAAATGTGAAAATAATAATAATAAAAAGGTAGTTTAGCTTAAAATTTAGCAGTTCACATTCACATAAACATTAAATTTGGTAAATTTCTCTCAAATTCCAGCAAAGGGAACATTGTGGTTGGTATCTACTACAGGCCACTCGGTCAAACGAAGCCTGTCAATAAGGCCTTCTTACTCCAGCTACAGGAGGCATCTTGATTGCAAGCATTTATCCTGCTGGGGGACTTCAACCACGTGGATATTTGCTGGAAAAGTAGCATGGTGAGATGGGCAGTCCAGGAGGCTCCTGGAATGCACTGAGGATAGGTTCCAGAGCCAGAGTAATAGATGGGGGATGCAGTACTGGATCTGTTTCTCATCAGTGCAAATGAGCTGATTGGTGACATCAGGATTGGAGGCTGGCTGACCTGTAGAGACCGTGCTATGGTTGAGTTCATGCTCCAGAGGAATATGAGACAGGCAAAGAGTAAAATCAGAACGCTAACTTTTAAAAGGTCTGCTGATGACACCAAGCTGTGGAGTGTAGTCAACACACCAGGGGAATGGAATGCCATCCAGAGGTACCTAGACAGGCTTGAGAAGTGGGCACAGTAGAAATGCATAAGGTTCAACAAATGCAAATACAAGATCTTGCACCATGGCCAGGCAATAATCACTACAAGCTGGGGAATGAAATGATTGAAATGAGCTGTCCTACAGAGAAGGATCTGGGGATACTGGTAGATGGTAAGCTGGACATGAGCCAGCAATATACCTTTGCAGCCCAGAAGGCCAACTGTGTCCTGAGCTGCATAAAAAAATGGGGGCCAGCAGGTCAAGGGATGTGATCTTGCCCCTCTACTCTGTGCTGGTGAGGCCTCACCTGGAGTACTGCATTCAGATGTGGAGTCCTCAGTGTACAAGAAACATGGACCTATTGGAGCACATCCAGAGGATGGCCACACAAATGATCCCAAGGGTGGAAAACGTCTCCTTTGAGGACAGGCTGAAAAAGCTGGTACTGTTTAGGCTGAAGAAGAGAAGGCTGTGAGGTGACCTGATGGTGACCTTTCAGTATCTAAAGCGAAGCTACAAGAAAGAAGGTGAGAGACTCTTCAGCAGGGTCCGAGTTGATAGGACAAGGGAAAACTGTTTCAAATTTAAAGGGGGTAGATTTAGGTTGGATA